TGTTAACTCTCTCTGACCTTTTGGTTATGGGTCTTCTGTTGTACCGCATATTGCACACATTAAAGCCGCCTCGCTACTAGTTTGATCTGTTACCTCCAATACTCTCTCTCTATGTTTTCTCTCTCTACTCGTTTGACTATGTTTCTCTCTCCTTTCCAATTTCTTCCCTTTTTCCTTTAATAGGCGGGAGGACGGACAACCCTGCACGCCTCTTCTTTCTTATTCTTCGGCATGTAGGTCCCGACTTCTTCTTCGTTTTCTTCGGCGGCCAGACGCATACACACCTATAGTTGCCCTTTTTTTTTCTTTTTCTATCACCAAAATGGCGTTGTTTTGATGCTCTCAAAACGTCGTCATTTTTACCTCCTTCTATTTTTCTTTTCTTCATATCAAAATTATGTCGTTTTGATTTTTTCTGCTTCTAAGAAGCAGATGAGTTGGATTTGTTTCTCTCGAGCTGGGTTGTTACAATCTCTCCCCCTTTAAAATAAATTTGGTTATCCAAATTTGCAGTGACTAGGTGGTTTGAAGACATCCTTACTCATTTTCAAGTTTCCTCTTTAACCTAATGGATGTGTTATGATGTTTTTACTGGTGGGATCTCTTTAATTCGTAGTCAATTCTTTTCTAACTCTCATAAGTAAAGTAAAGTTGCTAATAGTTTGTCTTATAAATTCAAATTTTTTTTTGGACACTTACTCTAGCTAAAAAGAATGTCATCTAGTGCTATAGTGATTCTCGAAGTTCACTAACATTCCCCAATTTCATATGTCTAAATTAGATTATTGTTTTTCAACTTTTGAGAACTTAATATGGGGTTACTTGAAATATACCACATATTGGATTTAATATGAGGTCATATGTCTAAATTAGATTATTGTTTTTCAACTTTTGAGAACTTAATATGGGGTTACTTGAAATATACCACATATTGGATTTAATATGAGGTATTAATACTGAAACATTTTCATCATTTCTAATGAACTTAAGATTTCAAAACCTCCAAATCCTGGCTTGTGAATTTTGTAAGGTGGTATAGTTTTCAAGACTTTTTCTCTTTTATTTCGATGACTTGATGTCTACTTAGATTATCCTTTAACTAACTCGTATAGTTCCTTTAATGAAAATTCCTAATATACTCCTCATTATTTATTCTTCACAAGGATGAGTTCTTAAGTACCTGAAAATTTCTAATTTACCTTTCCTCAAGTTTTCTATGTTTTAAGTGAAAATCATTTGTTATCTGATTTTTAAAAATTACCTTTGAAAATTTAAAAAAAACATTTTAGTAATAAAACTTCCTCCTCTTTACTCAATGCGTCTAGTGCCTACTTAAGTTACTCTTAATTGAGTCAAATTGTACTTCTACTCTATCAAGGTTTGAATTATTTTTAAGGCACCTCAGTACTTGATCAGATTCTTCTTAAAGTCCTTTTAAGTAATCGATTATGAAATTCATACTCTTACTGAAATTTATTAGGAGTATTTAGTAGAGGGGTCATATAATGGCCTAGCTAAAATTGATAATATTCTCTACCTATTCCATTCCTTTTATTATGGTTAAGTACTACACCTTTTACTTCCTAATATTGCAAGTTATTATTCTTAGGTATGACACTACGATATGACTTGTGGGTTTGTTATATTCTTGTTTAGTCTTTATTGACTTAAAAAACATTTCTTCATGTTTTAATTTTTAATTTGAGAGTGTCTACTTTGAAGATCCATCTTAATATATTTGTATAACGTACAAATTTTACATTACAATTTAAGAATAAGCAATAATATGGGAGGGTTATGTACACAAACGGTTTTGTTATTAAAAAATATCGTCACAACTAATGGCTAGTGCAGATCTGGTTGGGTTAATTCTGGTCATCTAAATTTACTATTAGTCGTACCATATTTAGAAATTTTACCTTTATTAAGGTTGATTTGTAGTATCTTGATCGAATATTGATCTTGTAGGATCTTGGATTTACAGTTGCATTTTCTCTTCTTTTTTTTCATGATTGGTCATAATCACATAGCATATTTTTATCAATGGTTGAGAAAATTTAAAGTCTTTTCTAGGTGAGAGAGTAAGGAGATCGGATACTCTAGTATTGGAGCCAGTCTGTAGCCATAATAGGGTTGATCATAGGGTTTCTATTATGCTTAGTTCGCTTATAGTGATTCTTGTATGGTTTAGAAAGAGATTTTTCATGCGTGGTGGTTTATGGATCCATACCATACTTCCGTTGGGACACTCTGAATAATGTTTTCTTTGAAAGTTTATCCGGGCGTATTACATCATTTTTGGGTTACCCTTTGGCATAAGAGAATTATATTTTGAGTTATTATTATATTATTAATAACGTGTGGCTAAAACATGTCCTTAGGATATCCTCTTCTCCCATGAAAATTTAATTTAGGATGGATAAGGACTTTCAGAAAAAAGAGTTCTAATTAGGCGTACTCTAATCATTTGATACAAAAAATTTCTGTCCATTAAGTATATGATGATTTAATGCTTCAGGGTTTTTTGAAGCAACATTATAACTCCAATATGGCATCTCAATAAGGACTTGAAATAGTTAAGGTATTCATTCTTCCTAAAAAAGATTCACACGAAATTCTATATTTTATCAAAGTACCAAATAGTTATTTGGTTTCCCAAAAATGTTTTCTTTTGAGTCTACTTATTTTGAGATTTTTTTTTCTTCTCAGTCTTCAAAAGATTTAAGAAATGCCCTTCCATCTCATAAGAAATCAATTGGAGGTAAATTACCAACTGACCAAAATATCCCCAATAGTGTTT